GGGCCTCCCTTCTGAAGCTGCTGCCCCCGCGACCCGACCCCGGATAGGCGGAAGAAAATGGATGGATGGATGGATGGATGGATGGATGGATGGGTTCATGGGATCGAGGAGCCACTTTCAATTAAAACAAGTGCATTCTGTTGATTTTATTTTTTAATGTAAAATTTGCTAAACCAATCAACTATATTGCAAATATTTGCGTTTGATTCATTAGACTGAATTAACAATTTTTTCTAACCTTAATTTTTAATTCTACATTTGATCCCATTTGCGCCAAAACTAGTTAGTTCCACATAACTATGTAAGATTGGTCTTCTCGGCCACCGTAGCTGAGAAGCGCCGCGGTGCAGTCTGGGTAATATGTGTTTTGAGGAAAGAGAGCTAGCATGTCCGCCGTGGACGAATGAGCAGCAAAAAATACAATTTGTGTGCCTTAATTCCAGTGTATACGTGACCTAGCACTGTTATCACGTCGTCTGTATTAATAAGAACCGACATAAAGTGAGGAACGTCTTTTTAATGAGCGTTTGCGATGCTAAAATAAGCTAATCGTGCTAATTTAGCTATCAGACGGAACGAAACGCGATATATAGTTTTATAATTTTTACCTTTAATATTTTAGGATGTATAAGTGAACAAAATTGATTAGGGGTGACGTTTTGCGCAATAGTAATTATTTTTTTTCCAAGAAGTTCAAATAATAACTGGTTATTCTCTTGCTAAGCGCTATGCTAGGCTAGCTGTATTGATTAACTGAATTGGAAACACCGTGAGGCTACACAACAGAGAGTGGGTGGGGAAATGGACGATACTGCCACAAATGTCGATAACGACATTGTTATCATCGTGGAAAACGAGGCCGAAAGTTTGCCCGCAGTAGATGATAAACTGAAACTGCAAGGCGGCATCGGCTTTGGGCTGATGGACACATGTCCCATCTGCAAGCTGAGCTTCCACAACAGAGAGCCCAAGCTGCTGCCGTGTCTCCATTCCTTCTGCAAGAGGTGTCTGCCGGCCCCGTTCAGGAGTGGCGAACCGCCGAGGCGTGACGCGCACGGTCCAGGTGACAGCAACAAACCACCAGAGAAAAGTGCCGTAAACTCAAACATAAGGACATTTTTCACAAAACCTGGTTGTCCGCAAAACATTTTAGAAAAAAAAAAAAAAAAAAATCTCAAGAAAAATGTAATTTAAGTATATTGTTCTGTAGACAAAGTTTATTATATTATTGTTCTCAGTCAGCCAGGTTGGCAGGATCTGCATGAATAAAACTTCCTCTTTCTCTTCTTTGAAATAGAGTATTTAAGGCTCAGGGAGTAAAGCAGCAGAAATGTTGCTGATAAAATCTAGAGGTTACCCAACATTCATAAACTTATTTCTGCTCACAGGTCAAACACTTTCACTTAAATATGATTATACTGTGTACATGACTTTATTAAAGGTTACAGTTTAGTGTTCTGTTCGGCTTTAACAAGTTTTTTCTCCCTTTCGTTTTTACAAATGACGGACGCCCGCGGCAGAGAACTTTAATCAGGGTCTTTTTTTTCTTGGCAGGATCTGGTTGTCCGAAGTGAAAATAGGTCGTCTCGGACAACCTAAACAATGGTTATGTGTACCCCTGCTAAGACATCCAAACACATTAATCCTACATGTGATTTTGTCACATTTTGGAATAAAACAGCAGAATTATTGCTGCAGACCCCTGACTAAAAGCCATAGAAACACTAAAAAATGAAGAGAAATGATCCAAGACCAATATTGTTGTGCTTTTGTTTGATCGATCCAAAAGTAGTATCAAAATCCTTTATACTTAGTACTAAAAGTAAAGAAATTTGTGTTTTGGTAGATCGATTCTTTATTGTAACCCTGCTTCTTAGCAATAAATCTTAAAACCTGTTAATTTACCTTTTAAATGATGCCCCATTTGTAAGGAACATGCATTTGTGGGATGAGCGTTAGAGCTGTGTGGGTTGCACACATGAAATGTTGGCCAGATTTTACCTGCTAAACGGCTTATTTTGTTGCTACTGACACTTATTTTGTTGCTACTGACACTTATTTTGTTGCTACTGACACCTATTTTACTGCTACTGACTCTTATTTTGTTGCTACTGACACTTATTTTGAGCTTCTGGTACCCCCAGATGCTGCCAGTCAGGTGTCTGGTTTATGATTACTGCCAAGAAGCATTGTTGCAACAAATACTCTACCAAACACAAATTACCTTACTTTTTGTGCCACGTTTATAAGATGTAATCACATATCCAGTGTTAAAGACATCCGGCTAATATTAATAGAAGCAAATGTAATTTTCTGGTTACAGATGATTTAGACCAGGGGTGGGCAATCCTGGTCCTCGAGGGCCGCAGCCCTGCATGTTTTATTTTTTTCTCTGATCAAACACACCTGATTTGAATGAATGGGTGATTATCAGGCTTCTGCAGTACGGAGGGCCGAAACTGACATAATTAAAAATAAAAGCGGAAATATATAAATTGATTAATAAATACTTAAAGTGCACTAATATAATTCAAAAAGGAAAATTTTATTTAAAGTGTATATATATATATATATATATA